CGTCCTCTTCCACAACATCTTTGTCCCCGCTTTCCTCCTCTAAATAAAAAATGTATGAAGGAGGAGACTCATCCACGACCTCCGACACAAAACTCTCCTCCTCTTGCCTGTTTCTGTCCATAGCGTTCCTTGACAGTGTCGTTGCTAAGTGCTACTTGGTCCCAATATAATTTCCCATTGGGAACCTACTAGCACTAAGTTGCTAACTGGTTTGCAAGATGCTTCCGAGGCACTGGCCACAACCAAAAACCTTGAGTCTTCCGCCACAACAACCCCGCCCTCTTGATAAACAACCAATCACATTCACTTTACTAACTCGTGTAAAGTTGGGCACCACTCGGGAGAATTCGGAAATGGAACCGCTTGAACAGCTGCTTCACTACGACTTTAATGCTAGCATTAAAATCAAACTTTCTTCTTAATGTCTCTTAATGGTACGTTCCATTGCTAATACTATACTTGATAGAGTAAAATTGGCCCCATTGAAACAGAGATATTATGACATTATTGGTCTGGTCTGCTCTAGTTTTCTACCTCTACTTCCTGTTGATTATAGACAAGCATAACCTAATGTATGATATTACACTAGCTGGTTTATTCGCTCCAATGAATGAATTCATGGCTATAGAGACTCTCTGAAAGTTTAAATCAGACTTTGAACTGGTAAAAAGCAGCACAGTCCAAATTGGACATCTGTCAGCTTAATATGAAACAGTCAAACAACTATTGTTAAATCATTTTATTGAAAGAGGCATGACATAGTTTTCTAACGATACTGCATTTGGTGGCTAAAACACAGAACAGCAGAACTCTTCTGCTTGTTCTCGTAGATCGCGCTCATACTTGCCAAGGTCTTTTACTTTTTTCACCTTGCATGGAGTTGCCGTTAGTGTTGGAGTTAAGCTGGATGCCAGTCGCTTCTGTGTATCCATCCACAAAATCCACCTTCAATATAACGCTTAGATTGTTTGCTAGGTTGGACCCACTGAACATGAACATCCGCAAAACATCATGCTAACTCCGGACCAGAACTACATTCAGATAATTGGGCTACAGGCTTATAGATTCATCAGGGCTGAGCTACTGAGGTGTCAGTCTGCTCATTAAATGATGTTAAATGGATTTTTATTTACCCTTAATGAATAAATTAAGGGTAAATAAAAATCTTTTTTACAGATATTTTTCAGTAAAAACTTGCATAATGTCTCTTTAATAACTTAATAGAGCAAAGGGGTTTTATTTCCTCTGCATTAAATGTCCCTGGTTGGTTGGTTATAAGAATTTGTCATTTGTTTTTTGTTTTTTATTGCTGTTGGTTGAGGTAGTACACAAAGAATGTTAGTTTGATGCATTTAATGAAAGGAAAGACTTTATAGTAATGTTAAAAAGTGATCAGAAGATGGTCTAAACACATAGCAGTGGCTTTGGTAATGGAACAGCGTGCAGAAGAACAAGCTGCAGCTTTGCTGATCAGGGCTGCAAATTGTTGCTTTTTGACCACATTGCTGTTGATTGTGCTTTCTGACCTTGCTGCTGTTATTTGTAGCATTTGAAGGTTGATCCCATCTTTATACAGGTCATCATGGTTAACCTTGCAGTGTTTTGAGTATTTTGTGCTCTGTAGTTCTCCTTCCACCCTGCCTTCAGCCAGACCAACGCATGCAAAGCCAGTGTTTTTTATCAGATGTGTCCCTTATGTCTCCTCTTGCTTCTCCTCCTTTGTCTCTTCTTGCCTCCCCTGCTTTTCAGAGGACGGTCAGAAAGGTGAGACTTGCGGCCTCCGTTTTCCGTTCCTCCTCCTGCCCACCTTTTACAGCATCCTGCCTGATCTCCGTCCTCCTTTCTTTTCCACTTCTATGCTTGAAACCCAAACAAGATCCCACTTTTCTTTTGTTTTATTTTCCTGTTCATCCTCTTCTCACATTCGCCTTTGCTTCCATCCATCTACATGTCAGTGGTTGTGGTTTTAACTCTGCTGTTCCTCCATGCTTTCCTCAGGTTATTTCCAAACTTTTGGAGCCTGTCAGGAACCACCTGGCGTGGCCCCTCTCTCTGCTCCCTTCCCTCCCATCAGGAGCAACACTTGGACTCAAAGCTCTGGTTCCTCTCAACAACAACTACAAGAAGACCAACTAGCTGCTGGCCAGCTGGTGGATCTAAGACTTTACACTTTGCTCCCCGTGTAGAAACGTCCTCTTTTTTTAATCATTTCTTTCAATCCTTTTGTTGCGGATTCTTTGATTTTCTTTGCTCAGTGTGGACTCCTGCAGAGCTGCAGCCATTTGTGGATCTTAAAAAGGCAAATTGTTTAATAATAATCTACTTTAGATCAATGTAGAGAATGTTAAATGATTTTATTTGAACATCTGTTAAGCATTTTGGAGACTGCATCCTAATTTTATTTCATGGAAGTTTTTCTTCTTTTAGTTCCTTGTTTTGGCATCAATGCTTATTGTTTTTTTTTTTTCTTCCTCTTTTAGGTTTTGAAGCCACTAGCTGATAATTATATGGAGGACAGTGTCAGACAGACGGTCTTTAACTCCATCAGAGCCAGCTTGGCAGAACAGGGTTCACGGCCCACCAGGTTAAAGACTGACTGATGCTCCTCTTCGGCCCCCCCATCACGCACGCTGTCCACTTCTAGAACTGTGGGACTAGTTGAACACCAAAGCTGACCCTCTTTTTATGTTTGTTATTTTTCGGGCGTAGTCTTGTTGCCGCCCGTCTGTCTTTGTCTGTGGACCTGTAGCCTTGCAGTCTGACCTGCTCTTCATCGCCCCCTGGTGCCTCACACAACATGCTGCACAATCAAAGGAAGGAGCAGAGGAGCCGGGGGCATCATCCTGCGGGATCCTCTGCCATGCTCTGTTTCTTTGGTTGTTTTTTTTAATTTTATTTTTCCTGATCATCATTGTTGCTGGAATCTGACTGCACTCAATATTAGGAAAACTGACACCGCCGTGGGTGGCTGCTAACATCGGATGCACGCTGCGGCACTTGAACGTGCATGTTTTCCTGTCTTCAGACATTTTCCCAGGGATCTACTAACCCATTCACTCTGAAAAGCAGGATTTAATTCCTGCAGTCAGTTCTGTTGAAGTGAAAACGCAAGTAGAAAGGAAAGCTAACCTGCAGAGCAGGGAACGAAGCAAAGCTGTAATGTTTTGTTTTCGATCAGATCTGAAACACTATGAGGCACGGTTTTTATGATCATCCTGTGGGGTCAGGCTGCCTTCACATGAGAAGGTTCCACATTTTCCTTGTGTCCCTTTAATATTTCGTATAGATAACTGAAGAGCTACAGGTAGCACCAAGTTTCTCCCTACTGTTCTTTAAGGGGGTCTGTTTGTGATTTTTAGATAGTGAAGTGTGCTCTGAAACTACCTTTGGTGTCTCATAGCATACGTGCCAGTATTCAGCTCTGTGCATGCTGTTAGGAGCTTTTAGAGCCCAGCTATAGGCTAGTGGTTAATTTGAAACCGTTTTCCCATCCATGCCCTCCAAAAAGCTTCAGCAATTGGCTGCAGTTTCAGACAGGTTGTGGTATTTTTCCAGCCTCATTTATTCTGATTTGTTCTGTGAGGAGTAAATGGAGAAGACCCCGCCTCATGTCTTTGCTGTTTGAACCAGCTGGGAGCTTTAGCTCTGCTGCGACAATCATTCAGAAATTAAATTCTTTCTGCTGCTTAGATTTTTGTCCATCAGGGCTGGACCTCCCAGAAGTAGAAGAATAATGTATTTTAATGCACCTCACCAACCTCACTGAGGAACTCGGCCATGTTTGTTTTTTAGCTCCTCACCAACAGCTGCATGTGTCTTTTATTCTGATTCCATCCTCAGTTTCTAACTACAAACACAAGTCTCATAATGTACAGTGTCTTTTTTTTTTTTTTTTTTCTCGTATTATAAATCAGGCATGTGTGTTAATTATTTAAGTAAATAGTGTACACATTTTATAGAGAATCACTTTACCATGGCTATTTTCTTGTCTGGAGTAACTTTCCAGCGTGCTTTGGTAAAGGATGGGCTCCTGCTTGTAGGCTCGCCTTAGCTTCTGTTCTGTTCACCAGAAGGGACGGACGGCTGCATGTTGCGGTTATTGGACTGTTTACTGGGCTGCAGACATTAGCCTGTCTTTTAAAGATATCTCTGGTAAATTATTTTTGATTAAAATGTTCATTTTAAGAATAAATCACATACACAGTCCTGCTGGTTGTTCTTTTTTTTCTTTATTTCAATTCAACATTTAAAAGCTGCCATCTTTGTTCATCTGGTGTTTAAATGATAAAAAAAAAAACAGATCTTTCACAGGTCGCTTGTATAGATTTCTCATTTTTAAAAAACTGATTTTGTATTAAAATGAACAGAAAATCATTTTAAAGCTTATTTCCAAAACTCAGAAGAGCGAGAATATTTGGAACAAATCTTATGAAGCAATTTTAATGTAAAATGTTTTCTAAAAATATCAGATTTAAACTTTGAAACATTTAGGAGTAAAAATTAATGATGTACTGGAGGTGTATTTGTATTGGTTTAATTTGGCCACATGATGGCGCTACAGTGAAAGAAAAAGGACCAGACTACAAACTCCTAAAACCTAAATTCAGTTAGCTTAAAAATATCTACTTTTTTTGTAATATCAATGAGAGAATGTCATCTTTAATAAATATTTAAGTTTAAAACAAGCAGTAAGAGGCTGATACTAGTAAGCTATATTCTAAGAATTAATTTAAATGATTCTGGCTTACTGTTTATTAAAAATCAAAGGTTCATTTAATAAGATAAATACAACATGTCAGTCTGCTCTAATAGATTGGCACTGAGGTGATGAGGCTCTGGTTCTGCTTAGAAAACCCATGTTGATTTAGTAAACTTCAACCCACACAGTAAATTATGTAGTGTTAAAGTAACACTTTAAGATTGTATTTGGTCCCACTCTGATTTAGTGTTAAATTAGAACACTAGGTAGTGTATATTTTATTCCAGTTGTTGCTGTAATAACTGTAAAAGAGTCGATGTACTTACACACTGCATATTTAACACTGTAGGATTTACTGTGCATCTGCTGTTTGAAGGTTCCTTCTTACAATCTGAGGTTTGTTGGCCAGTAAGCCCTTTAGAATAGTGGACAGGTTCAAGCGCTGCTAAAAATGAAATGTACATGAAGCCTAAATATTTTGCCAGAGAACTGGACTGACTTTGGAGGTGATGAAGCAGTGAGACGATACCAGCAGATGACGGGGCTCCCTCCTCAAATCAACTCAAGCCTAAAGCATCTTTGACTATGCGCCTCCAGGCTTTCCACAAACTAATAAATTGATCTTTGAATCATATTTAAACTTTACTTTTATTTATAAAGAGGACTTTGGACCCCTGACAAGTTTTTTTTTTTAGTCCTTACTCCCATTTGGTACTGATGTTTTGGAGAGCTGTACTTCATGACCTGTATGTGTGGTGAATCCTCCAGCTCAATTCCACACTCTGAATCTCCCAAAACCTTGAATATGGTTTCCTCGAGAAAAAGAAAAATAGAAATCCCTTTACTTATACATTTAATTCCCCTCAACATTAAATAAAATAATTGTCTTTTGGTTAAAATCCAGTCATACAATGTGATTTACAGAAATACAAATTTTTATCAAATCTTGTGAAATCACTCTTTAGACTGAATCACTGAAAACCTTTCAATTAGTTTTTCTATCAAAATTCACCTTAAGCCTCAGAACTAAGAGGAAAGCTTAGCTACAGATTTAAATGCTGCATTTCCAGAAATGACCAGCAGGTGGAGCCAATGTTATTTTAAAAATACATTTATTTTGTTCACATGAAATGATCTAATGGCGTCTATTCTGCTTTTAAAGCATTCATCGGTTAAAATCTGGTTACTATTGTAAAATGAAAGAATACAAAAAACAAAATGCTATCAAAAAAACACAGGCTAATCAATTTAAAGTGAGAACTTGCAGGACAAACTAGCTGGTATAAAAATCTAATTCTAAACTAAGAATGAAACGGCACACTTCCTGACTTTTAGGTTTAATTACATTTCAACTAAATTCCTAAGGTTTTATGTCACAAATAGCTGCAGGTTGTTCTGATTTCATTCATTTTCATATTGCTTTCAGAAATACATGCTTTGTATAACAGTTAAAAAAAAAAACAATATAAATAGTCAAAATGATGCCAGAGGCAGTGGGTGGAACCAAATCACTGCTCACTGACCCCCAATAAAAAAGCAAAAATTAGGATGAGATTCATCTTTGCATTGTTTGTTTCTCTGTTTTAAAAAGGGAGCGTAAATAGTGACTGCAGTAAAGCTTCCCTTCAGAGTTCATCATGTTCTTTTCTTATTTTATTTGGTTTCCTCACACAATCCAACAGTCCATCATGAAATGGCACTTTTTCATCTGTTATATTTAAATGATCACAGCTAACAGATTATACCAACTGGTTATAAATATTGACAGGCTTAGGAGCAGCAGCTAACAGCACTGTTTATACATCTGTTAACTGGATGCCTTAAATGAGGTTTCTGTTATAATTAAATATCCCATACAAAGGCTGTAATAGCACTATTGCTCTAACAATCCCACCCACCCATCATTTTATACACAGGATGCACCAGGAGAACCGCTGCTTAAACACCAATCCGTATCTAAAATTTCTCTAAAACTTTTGGTTTAAATTAAAAGAATTTCCTGACTCTGGAGTAAAAAAATAAAAACATTAAATTAATGTTTTAGCTCGTATTGCCAGGATGAGTCCCTGCTAAAAAAAAAAAACATATGGAAGACAGAGGGTCTCTAGTCTTCTCTGGCTTGACCTCCACTCAGACTCGAGACAAGCGGAGGCGATGAAGGCGAGGTCATCTGATGTACGTCAAAATCCACGTTTAGACCATGAACCGGGTAGCAAAGGACGCTGCAGCGCCAAGCGCCAATCCCAGGGACAGGAAGAAGGCCATGATGGCGCCCGCTGTCTCCGCCTGATGCTGTGGTACCTTCCTGCAGGAGGAAGAGGTATCAGGAACAGGCTGCTAATCAGCAGACTACAGGAAAACTTTATCATTAAAGCACCAATATAATGTCTATTAAAATATATGATTATTATAAATTAAATATTAAGAAAGCATAACACTGCAGGCCATATTTGAACAGTGTGAAGCAGCAGCCCTTACTTTGGTCCAAAGCACATGCAGAGGCTGGCCAGGTATCCGTTGGAGAAAGAGAACAGGATCATGAAGAAGATGTACCAGGCGTCATGAGAAAACACCACGGGGAGGTAGTTCCGAGGCTGGACGTTGCACAGCATGAAGAGCGGGATGAAGATCACCCTCACGCCGCACAGGACAGGAAGCCAGATGCTGTCCTTCCCCGGCTGGACACACATGGGACAAGACTGAACTTTAAAACCAGCAACAGATTAGATCTACATAGAAAGAGAGATGGAAAGGTTCCAGTAATTTCTTTATAAATTACTACCATTTGTGCAAAACTTTTGAAATCATCAATATAAACTCAACATTTTCTCCAGTAGTTTGAAAACCTCTCAACTCCAGAGGAAGCAGCTTTTTTTTAAACCAGTGGAAAGCTCAATGGCTCCATCCACGTCCCTGTGATCCAGACCCGTCCTGCTTTAACCTTCTCATTTCTCACTTTGTTTAATTAGAAGCTTTAACAAAAGGATGAGGAGACGTTAACGCTGCGTTTACCTGCAAAAGCAGAGGAATCTAGACAGACCCTGATAATCTCTGTCTGCTGCTGATAAATAACCTCACGTGTCTCTGCAACAGCTGACAACGACGAAGCAGCATTCCTCTGCAGGACAGCGTGCAGTAAGCAGACTCATTCACCCAGACCTAATTCTATTACATCACAGGAAATTAAGACTTCCACACTGTTCCATTTTATTTTCTGGATAACCTCCAAGTTGTCTCCAGGAATTAGCCAAGGGTTGCCCACACCCAACACATTGGGGCGGCGTATAAAATTAGGGTGATGGAAAGGAGGCCGTCCAAGTTTGAGTTCATCCTGAAAGATGAAGAAGGAAACTAGCAGTGGGAATAATTAAAACTAGTAAATGTAATTCCATTCTTTAAAAGGAAGGTATCAACTTTCAATATAATCTTTTTTTTTTTTATAAGAATTTAAACAAAACCAAAGTACTCATTTAAAAATGGATACTTCTTTTTTAAGCAAAAATCTTTAAACTCCTCTGCGTGCAGGTTTTATTTCTAAGCAGTTATTTGGATCTCCTGTCCTGATATGTTTCAGGTCTTCCTAATGTTTCCAGATTGTTGATTTTCCTCTTTTGCAAACAGGAAGCTTGTAAAAGTAAAGATGCTTTTACAACCTTCCCTTGTTTAGTTTTGTTCCACATCTGATCCGCTGTTTGGCCAAACTAATAAAAGCTTATAATCCTCTCCAGCTGCCATCTGCAAACCCACTTGCAGAATTGATTTTTTTTTCTTTTAAGCCAAATATTCAGTTTTCAAATAAAATGGTTTTTTTTAATCTTGCTTTCTGCTCACTGTTGATGTTCCTTTCAGCAAGGCGCTTAACTTAAAGTTAAGAAAATACATTTTTGGAACAGAGGGATCCAGAAACGCCTCCCTGACTCCAGGAGACTCAGCGTTTAACCGAGGGCCCCTCAGCTGTCTGTGACCCCGCGGCCATTGATAATGACCATGAGAAGGATAGGAAAGCAGACCTGTAAAAGCCTCATTATCCCTTTGCACCTAACTTTATAGAAACTTCGTAATAAAATACACAGACTGCTCTCTAAAACAGACCCCTGATCTCTGCAAATAAACTCTTCCTCTGGACTTTTACCAGGAAAACAGCTTTTGTTTTTCCAGCATTCTTCACATGAATCAGGATTTATTCTGGCAAACATCTGACGCAGCCATTAAGCTGTCAGCCCTGGGGGTGTCATCACCGCAGGGGAACAGGCACTAAGTGTTACTAAGCGTTGCAGTCCCTTTAAATGGATCAAACTATTGAGCAGCTTCACACGGCTCTATGTTGCTGCTGTGTGCGAACTGACCGACTTAAAACAGCCTGTTGTTTGGTCAGAGGCAGCCGCTTTAAGCGCAGCTGGTCCGTTAAAGTTACACTGCTATGTCGGTGCCGTTACTGACCCACATGCAGACGGCCGTCAGACTCCTGCCAGCCCAGTCCATCACGTTGAAGAGGAGGAAACACGACACGGGCATGAAGTATGTTTCTGGAAACAGATCAAAACAAGGAGGGTTTGAAAACAGACATGGCTCATACCTCTGGAAAGCAAACATCTATGGCGGTATGGAGGCTGAGGTGGAGAGTCTGCTGCTAGACTGAGTGGAAATAAAATGTCATCCTCATTTAAACAGCACTTCTTCTAAAGGAGCAGCTTTATCTTACATTGAATTTACCAGATTTTAGAGTATTCATTCAGAAATAAAATATAAAAGTTGTTTGCATAACTTTTTTTCTAGATAACTGGAGCCACTTTATATGGAGTCAACGATGCATTTAATTACAAAGTTAATTAAATCTAATAATTCAATTTAAAAGGAAAAAAACTGAGACTCATTGCATATAGAGGGATATACAGTATTCTAAATGCTTACTGAGAAAGTTGAGTGGAAGGAAGAAGTGTGGGTAGAAAAAGTTGTGTTTGAGCTGCAGCCAATCAAAGGACAGTGAAGCAAAGCCGATTGAAGAGGTCATGGATGCTGCAGAAGTCGGTCAGTTTAAAGTCCATCAAAAGGACAGATCGGGTAAATAACCTCAGGCCGTCTTATTGCCCATGCAGGGGCCTCTTTTGAAACATTATACCAAGGCAGAGGAGGAAACAAACTGGTGTTTCTCTTTGGGCCAAAGCTGCGTTTTTAGATAACAGTAAATGTTGCATTTCTATGTAGAAGAATAGATGTGAGAGAGCATGTTTACATACCCAGCAGAAATCACATAGCTGAGGATAACTGCTTTATCAGCTCTACATCAGGTTACATGCACCACAGACATGCATGATTCAAGAAATCCTTATCTACATGTTCCTGGCTGCTGCTGTGATCAACACAATGCTTTTCAAAAAAATCTGCATCTCTTTGTGTCCTCTCTGAGGTTTTGGAGGATGCTAAGAGTTTCTCTGCTGTCTAACATATATATTGGCTGAAAAATCAAGGACTGTTGATGTTTTTTATTTACTAAGACAGAAGAACATCCTGTTTCTTCATAGCTGTCCGTTTGTTAAATAATAAAATAGATCAGAGAACTGTGTTTAAATGCAGGGGAGGAATCTATGGCAATGCGATTATGTGAAATCCTGATTTTCTTTTTTACATGTTCATTTCAGAATCAGGGAGACAATCACATTGCTGTGTGCATGTAACTAGTAACTGAGTCTGCAGAATCAGTCCAGATTATTTCTAAAGTCCAGTCAATGCAGTCAGCTACCACATCATCTTAGAGCACGTGCTCCTACCTTCTGCTGTTGACCTGCATGGATGTTATTTTCCAGCAGAAGTTGAACATGGGATATGGGTTAATATGAAGAGGAAGATGAGACACCAGCCCCATTAATGCAGAGGACCTGCGGTCTGTTTCACAAAGCAGGTTTAACAAATCCAGATTCAAATCCGCAACTCTAAAATTACGCTGAGTGTTTGGTTCATAACAGCTGCTCTCAATTAGTTCAATCAATTTTAACAAGGTCCCTTCAGAGTTAGGCGAGTGCGCAGTCACCATGACAACAGGCAATGCCTATTTCACTCCACTGGAACTAGAGATTTTAATGCAGAAATGCAAAATAAATTAAATAAAAAAGGGAGAATGCTTAAAAGACAGAGAAACAGCGCTACAGCTACAAAGGAGAGCAAGATGGCGAAGGAGAAGATTGTTGCTTGAGTTAATGCCTAAGTTTATAAAAAGTAGGCTATGGCAGGCGCATTTTTACATTTATTAAAAGGAGTCCTCTGCGGTTCCATTTGTAGATCACTAAAATAAGATTCTTTCTGATCAAAATCAGACGCCTAGACCTATAATAGTATATTTTCTTAATTACATTTTTGTAGCAGAAGCTGAATTTTAGAAAGTAAGAAAAATATATACTAGTAAGAATTAAGTTGTATATATCATAAAAATTGTTTACACAAATTAAGTGACCAGTCTGACATTTATCAGCTTGTCTTTTTTCATAGTTAAAGTAATTCAAATGCTGACCAGTAATGTTAGGAATATGGAGATCTGAAATTGATTTCTAGACATCCAGAATGTTTATTCTAGATGTGGAGAAAGTCATTTTGTTTGAAATTGTCATTTAGACAAAGAAAATATGTTTTTTTTTTTAGATATCAGGAATACATATTAAGTAAAACTACTACATATCAAAAGACTATAATACTACCGATTTATTTCTTGAATGGTAGATCATTACCTTACCATACCAACTAGCTATATATACACTGACAGGACCAGAGTGCTATACACAATCATAAAATACAATCTAATTATAAAATCTATTTATCCGTTTAGGTGAAATCTTCTGGCAGCAGGGGAAAATGAAGTCTAAAAATGTTTTTCCATATATAGAACCTGTGCATCATCATGGGTCCCTCTTAATGTCGATTCAGTCTTCTTTTACACAGTAAATACAAAGTGGCTGTTTGAAGCCGCGTTTCGGATATTATCATGCCAGTAAATGGTTGTTATCAGCCCATAGAATAGCTTCAGATTGTGCCAGTAGACTCCTTAGGTTGTTATCCTCGAGTGAATCCTAATCCCAACCCTAAAGTAATTCCTTTCCCCCACAGAATTAATGAATCTATACATGTGTAATCTGAGAATAATTTCAGGTGTTCTTCATGTACTGTAAACGTAACTAAATAGAAATATAATAATCCACATCTCGCTAATATTAAACAAACCAAAAACAAGTAATCTCATATCTCTGTGAAAAAGTGCTGATAATTCTTAAATAAGATCCTCGTTAAAAGGACTTGCAATGTTTTAAAACCTAATGTGTGTAACGGACCTAGTGAATGATATATACAAATATATATTTCTTATGCACAAAAATCTGACTAAATCAGGAAATAAAACAACGTGACTGGTTATAAGGAGAGCAGCGACAGAGAACAATACGAGTTTACTGAAGGAAAACCTGCTAAAGACCAGGTTAGCTCTGAGGAGAATGTTACAATGGTGACTGAGACCAAGATTGAGGAAACTCTTTGTGAATCAGAAAAGTCAGAGTTTCCCTGTTTTCAGGTTTAAAAACCCAGAGTAAGTTTTCGGTAAACCTGCTTCATGAAACTGACCCCTAAAGGTCCATATCAAAGCCACCTGGGCTTCCTGAACACCTCAGCAGAGCCACAGAAACAGAAACATCCAACCAATACTGCGTCAAACAGGCCTGGGCATCATACCTGGTTTGCTTTCCTAAAACCCACGGTGTGGGGGACGATCTAAGAGGAGTAAAAACTGGCTCCAAGCTGCAGCTTTTTAATTTAGATATACATAGAGCCATTCTTCTGCCAAATATTAGAGGAATTTCATTTTTGCACATTTAGCAGCTCTGACCGAACCTCCTTTAAAACCAGACTCACCCCAGCTGCTGCCGTTCGCTATCGTCGACTTTACATCAACGGTCACTGCTGGGAACATCCCGATGGTGACGGTGAAGATGAAGCACACAGACAGAGCCATCACCCAGATCTGATCAGAGAGAATAAAGATGACATCATCAACGTGCTGCTACCAAAGGTCACGACCTGCCAGCCGAACCGATTTACGCCATTTACACAAAATAGTCCGGAAAGGAGTAGGTAGAGTCCAAATATAAAGGCAGGACAAACACAACAGTTCAGAACCAATCAGATCACTATGAATGTGAACTAAAATATATCGGGGGGTTTTTTTTTAAGAAAAGCTCTTATAGCAGCGATAATAACCGCTCTTTCTGTCAAAAAAACAACTAAAATGCAGCTAAGGTCTTGATTTGTTATGGAAAAGTGCTGTAGCATTATAACCCCACCTCCCGCACTGTGATTGGTCCAGAGGGCACAGTCTGGTAAGGCCGACACGGCTACAGACCTGCTACGTTTTTATAAAAATATATAAACATAAATGTCTGTTCTTATGCTCCCATGACAAATAAAAAGTGAAGAACCGATCATCTGCACCTGCGTAAAGATGTTAAACACAGATGTGCTGCCACTGGTCTCCTCCTCAATCAGATTCGTACCCGGCTGCTTCTCTTCTTGATTTTCTGGGGTAACAAAACAAAACAGCTCACTGTTATTTTACAAATCTTTTAAAATCAGCAAAGAAGACACAGCAACTTGGTTAGTCATACAGACATCCCTTTGGTTTCAAAAATAACTCTTTTATAACCGTAACAAAGCCAAAACTGACTCACTCCAAGTCAAGTCAAGGTCAGTTCACAGCAAATATGATTTAATTTTTCCATGGAATAAGTCTTCCGCTCAGAGAAGTCCCATGAGATCGCCGTCTCTAAACAGAAAACACTAGAGAGGCATCTCTTTTTAATCTTTGCATAATTAAAAGGGATTTTGGACGTTTTCCAGTCCTTCCAATAAGGCAGAATAAAAACCTTGTTTATGTTTTTAGGATAAAACAAACAAAACAGCAAGTTCAGGCTCAGACAGGCCCCAACAAGTTCTAGATTAAAATGACATTTTTTTTCATAGGGGAACGACCTCAGATGAGCA